TAACTTTTGCACCAAGGTCATACTGGTTAATAGTCACAGAGGCACAATATCGAGATAGATCCTGGTTGATGCCAATGGTTTTACTAGAGTACATTTAGGTCTGTTTACTTGTACTTTTACTAAAGTACATTGTTTGAGTACTTTCTCCACCACTGGTTGATGCATTGGTAAGATATCCATGGCGTGGGCTCCACACAGACCGACTGGTAATGAAGGATCTTAAAGTGGAGTGGCCACACAGGCCTCATCTCAAGGATTAAATCTTATCGGAACCAGAGGTCTTTTTCTGTTGTCCCAGCAAGGTCTGAGCTCCACATGCAGTAACTTGATACAGGGTGTGGCAAAAGAATCACAATTTCATGATCACATTTTTTTTTACTTAATTAGGCATCTTAGTGGTCAGACCACATCCTTAGAGATAACATATAACAGCAGGTGGGCAGAGTGAAGGGCACATTCGTCTCCAGATCAAAGACACTGACAGGAGAAAATGTCATACCTGAGGGGGTTTGTTGCTTTCAACCTTGGTGCCGTTTTCCTTATTGCCAAATCCAGTAAGTAACATTTAGCTAAATACTATCATTCTCTTGTTCATAATTTTTTCCCTTAATCAAGGGTCTCGTTTGATGCTGTTGTGTGAAAATTTGTATCTGGATATCTTCCTGTGTTAGGTCATGGTTCTGAGATTATCAATGGGAAAGAAGTGAAGCCACACTCCTTGCCTTTCATGGCTCTGCTGGAATCACATGAGTCAGTTTGTGGAGGAACTTTAATTGATTCCAAGTGGGTTCTGACTGCTGCGCACTGCGAAGGGTAAGAACAATTCTCATTTTTCTTATTTATATGCTTTTGGCGTGCATTTCAAGTAGCATTAAAAATGGAAAATGCAATCTGCTGTTACATTGACTGATTTTGCCTTGCTCTCTCAACAAACTTAAATAATGTTTAGATGTAAAAGAAAACCAGCAGTCCACAGTTTCATTAGAATTAATTTTTTTTAATAATGTACATTTCTAAGTTCACACAGCGGCTAGTCACAGAAGCAATAATGCCAAATAGTTTTTGTTCTGTTTTGTATAAATAGATGTATCCTTCATTACTCAAAAGTATAGTTAAGGTGGGTTGCAACTTCTCCATACCAATTGTGATGAAAAAAATATTAAAGATGATGTGTAATTCATCAGTTTTGGTATACAGCAGTAATAGATCTAGTGGAAAGAATGTTAGAATAATTAATTACATCTACATAGTAAACCATTTCTATCTCATTATTGTGCAACCTCTAATCTGTAAGATCTTAAATTTACCATACTGGTACTATGTTATCGCTCTCTCAGCATGAGCATTGCATTCCTGGGAGTGCACTCCATCTCAAGCCACACTGAAGGAAAGTACAGGCAGATCCTCAGAGTGGCGAGGCGTTTTCCTCATCCTCATTATAATCCCTATACATATGACAATGATGTCATGTTGCTCAAGGTAAGTTTGCTTTCCAAAAGGAATGATTTCATCTGTTTAAAATAACATTTCATACATAGGGGACATATTTAAAATTAAGACTCTACTTATATCAAGCTGATTCTTATTTCACAATTTACTTTCAATTAATTATCTTTCATTTACTGATGTCTTGAAACATCCATCCATTTTCTGTACATCCTTGTCCCTAGTGGGGTTAGGAGAGTTGCTGGTGCCC